TTAATCCCTGGTACCAAAAAAAAAAAAAAATGCAATTGTCTTCCAATCCTGGAAAATTTTCACTAAGAGAGAAATTCATTTTCATGACTAGAGCAAGAGGAAAGAGATGGGCAGAGAAAAAAGCAGCACTGAGAAATAAATCCATTTATCTACGTGTGGCCCCACCAAAAGACCAAGGTTTCTGATGCTTCCTCCCCCAGCTAATTTGTCTACCACCAGTGTTGCACTCTGTAAGGTGTATTGAACATGGGAAATAAATCCACAGTTAGAATCAGAGTGGCCCCGAGTCCCGCCAATCTTGAAACAGAAACTGCCCTTCGAGTTTCAGAGATCATTTATGTTCACTGCAAAGACAAAAAGTACCTGGGGTGGCAGTGTGGTGACGGTCTCCAGAATGTGAAATCAGGCTACCATTCACTCCCTGTGTGTGACCTGGGGCACACTCCCTAGACTCTGTGAGCCTTGGTTTCCTCATCTATAACTGTGGGGATATAATTGTGGACATCTCACAGACTGCTAAGAGGGTTGCAAAAGATRTAATGTACCCATGATTGTGGACACTAGAGATAGGTATCTGTGCCTTGCACACAATAATCTGAATAGATCCTTGCTGGCTTATTATTTAAAAAGAAAAAAGAAATCTGGTTCTCTCTGTGGCTAGAAAAGACAAAGAATGGACATTTTTCTGACTTTTTCCCTCTAAAGGAAGAGGGACAGGAAARGATGATTAAGCCTGGCAGATTCTTCCAAGAATCATTGACACAAAAGAGCCAGAAATGGCTTCCACAGAAGCCAATGACCAGCTAGGAGCAAACAATTCCTAATTTCATGGCCAATATTGGTCCAGGCTAACCAGCCTGGGGTGGCATCTGACTTAGAGCTGGGTTTATGGGTATGCGACCATACAGCTGCACTAGTTATCAGGGACCCACATCTGGTTTGATGCCATCTTGCAAATCTTTTTTTTTTTCCACATTGCAATTCTTGCTAATGGTATCTTTGAAGTTATGTTCATAAGTAACATCCAGTGATAATGAAGCATGCGTTTGAGTGAAGGAAAAGGAAAGGCTTTGTAAGTTAGGACATTTCATGGCATTTTTTTTCATGTGTTTTTACTTTGCACCGGGCCCCAAAGATTACATAGCCTGTCCTGATTAGGCTAGAGGGTCTCCTTATATCGGCTTCCCTGGGCCAGCTCACTATGTCTAAGTCTGATAGATAATTCGGGGTGAACCAAGGCTCATGGCAGAAAGACAAAAATATGACTGCAGACCTGGTGGAAAGGAAAAGTGACTTGGTGTCAGGTCGCAGGGGGCTGTCAGGTAACTTCCAGTGGCTCAAATTCTGTCCAGCGAGCAGGACCTCAGAAACCTTGCATTATTACCCTGGAGTCTGAGTCACGTTACATTTACCTGCCTAAGGAGCACAGCATGCTTGGGTGGCAACAGGGGTTCAGGCAAAGTGCTCAGCAGGCCAGGAGATCCTTACAAACCAGGCCAAAGACAGTATCATGAGGATACAGGTCCCCTGGGACACTGGATTTCTGTCACTTGTATGGCATAGTGTAAAGCTTCTCATTCCAGAATCCTTTTGGCTTCCAGGGGCATGTTTTATCATCCCAGGGACCCAGTGTGATGAAGGCTCAAAGAAATTGATAGTCTAATTAATCACAAATAATAAATGAATAGTCACTGTCATCAATACTGCTGATCACTAGTAAGGCTTATCACTGACAATTATGACAATAATATCAGTAAGAACTATAACTTGGGAATTAAGAGATTTGCCTTCTTCTCCAGTTCGGTCACGATTCCCTGGAATAAAACAGACTTTGCGTTTCTCTTTAGTTTTYTCACCTGTCATAGGGCAGCTGTCAAAATTGCATTTACCTGTGTAGTAGGAATCTCAGTATCCATCTTGCTTTATTTGCGTGGGGTCCAACACTTAAGACATGCTGGACAAACATGTATTAGATAGATGACACAAATGTAAGTGACCCCTGCTTTATTCAAGCACACAGTTAGTTTGGGAAGAGAAGGTAGCCAAAATTTGTTGGTTTCCCATCTTGTTCCAAGCCTTGACAACTACTCTGTGAACTAAGCTTATTTTATAGCTGGGGAACTTGAAGTATAGGAATGTTAATTCACTTGTCCCAGATACCCAAGTTTACACTGTAACTAAGCCAAGGTTTGAGCTAAAGATGTCCGGTTGAAAACCTTGTTATGTGACCTTAGCTAGAACAGAGGTCCCCTTCTCTTAGGGACGTGCTGCATATGCTGACAAACCATCAGTAGGAGTTTCTGTCTGTACTTGAGCCACTCTGCAGCTGGGCTTGGAACCTGTCTCTCTGTTCAGTCTCAGGCCCGCCTCTGTGTCTGCTCCCTGTTGCTCTTGTGACTGTTGTGGTTTCTCATTGGGGMACCTGGCTCCCCACAGTCTGAGGCTCGCTTGCTGACTCCCCATAGATACTTTCTGTCTTTTAGTTCAGTCAACGGAATCAACTTGGTGGAGTGCAACAGGGGGACTAGGAGTTAGGTTTCCACAGTTGACACAGGAAGAGATACAAACAACCAACAAGTAGAGGGTAAGATATCAAGCTCACTAGTCGCCAAAGAAATACCGTGAACATAATGATGACAAAACAGGGCAGAAGATAGGTGAGGAATGACGCCAGGGCAGGTCAGGAGGAGACCCTTTGATTAGTGCTGTCATGCCCATATGGAAAAGATAGCAACTGCTTTCCTGGAAAGGTTTTTGGAAATAGGTATCATAAGCCTTAGAAGTGTCTGTGGATATACACAGTTCCTGCAATACCGTAAGAGCTCTGAACGTTTGTTGGTGAATGAAGAGATGTCTCCCTTCTAGGTCTGTATCCCAAGGAAATAATCAGTGATAAAATCAAAAGCTAATGGCCAACTGAATTTCAATGAAAGAACCAGGGTTAAAAAGAAAAAACTATAATGTATCCATAGGTGTGATATTATGATGTCATTTAAAYAATATTTTAATAAATATTTTACAATATAGAAATTATTGTAATGAGGGGAAGTAAAAAAGTTCCATATAAAATGTAGCTCTACTCTTTCCTAGTTCTGTAAATGAATATACATTTTGCATYATTTATTCATTCAGCAAACATTTATCACATCTCCTATGTGTCAGGCACTGTGCTGAGTTCTGCGTATTCAATATGCACCAAACATATATGGTCCCTGCAGTCATAGAGCTTACAGAATATGCCCGGGTTCTGCTATTAAACTATCACACAAGTTAAGCAGACCCAATGATTGCTAGAATGTGAAATGAGAAATTGTTACAGGAAATCATGGCACTGGAAAGAGACAAATGGCCCTTGGAGATGCAGAAGAGCAAGGCTTATTCAGCTGAGCACCGCCCATTTTTATGGGGAGGGGTACCAGGGATGGAACTCAGGGGCACTTAACCACTGAGCCYCATCTGCAGCCCTATTTTGTACTTTATTTAGAGACAGGGTCTCACTGAGTTGCTTAGGGCCTTGCTTTTGCTGAGGCTGGCTTTGAACTTGTGATCCTCCTACCTCAGCCTCCCAGGCTGCTGGGATTACAGGCGTGCGACACCACACCCAGTGAGCACCACCCTTTGTTCCYAGTATCTTTTATACAGTACAGACTTCCGGGTTTCAACCCTTTCTCATGCAAGGAGCCTGATCCCTCTGCCTTTCTCTGGTTCCTTCCACAGCTGCTGAGCAAGTGTGATTACAGAAGCAAACTAGCARGTTGCAGCTACTAACAGAGATAAAAAAGAAACATCTTAGGAAGGAGTTGATGCTTCAAAATGAAACAGTATGCTAAAGAGTTTCAATCTGGAACCCAATTTAGATTGACAGATACACAGACATCCAAGGTGGCATGTTRGCTGAGCCCCAGAGAGGTAGACAAGTGGGGTAGGGTAGAGAGAGACATTCCCAACTGAGGGAGYCACACATGTCATGGGCCTGAGGCAGCAGAATCAGAAGCCCATAAAAATAGAGTGGATGACTGGGAGGTCCTAGTGCCAGCCTGGATTGTAAACCACGTGCAGAGGCACCGGAGGCATGGAAGGGTTTGGGGCAAGGGCTCAGTGCTCTTTAGCTACCACTCCCAGAAGGTCTCTCTAACTGCAGATACAGAATGAGTGAAGGTGACTTCTCTGTCAGACAATGATGGGAAAACGAAGAGGCACCTACGCGGGGCCATCAGAGGCTCACGGGAGCCAAGCCCTGCACTCCATCCCATTTCCTGGTAAACCAGGCTGAGATGCAGATCCTCACACACCTGAGCAGGGACTGGCAGTTCCACATTCTTATCCTTGAACTTTCCATCCCTCTTTCAAGTTAAYAGGATAGATCTCCATTCATTCCATTTGGGGGGGGGGAGGGGTGCTACTGGGGATAGAACCCAGGGGTGCTCTACCACTGAACTAAATCCCTAGTCCTTTTTATTTCTTATTTTAAGATAGATTCTCATTACATGGCTGAGGCTGGCCTCTAACCTGTGCTACTCCTGCCTCAGCCTCCAGAGTCACTGGAATTACAGGCTGTGTCACCATACCCAGTCACTTGTTTCTTTTTTAAACTCATCTCCAAGTGCCAGTGGAAATGGGGCTCCCTCAACCCCAAAGTCTCATTTACAATGAGACTTTAGCTAAAGTGAAGCCTCATCTCAAAATTAAAAACTTTAGTTTCCAAGGACTAGAGATCCAGAATATGAAAGAAATTTTTAATAGATGCCCTGGAATAATGTGTAGCTGTAGCAAATACATGGGGGRAAGTTCTCACCAACTTGATTTCATGCTCATTCCAAGCGATTCCTTACCGTGCTCTGTGAAGACCCTGGAGAGTTTCTAAGCATCTGTCTTTGCCTTTGCCTAATAAGTTATCCAGTGCTTTGTCTCGCAGGAGGGTGTGACGGCCATCCTGCATTCACTCAGCCTAAGGAAAGAAGGAAGATCCCACACTGACCTCTCTGATTCTTTGTCCACAGCTGGGGCACCCAGGGTGACTTCTCCACGACCCACGCACTGCCCGCGGTGAAGGTGAAGCTGTTCACAGAGAGCACAGGTGTCCTGGCCTTGGAGGACAAGGAGCTCGGGCGGGTAAGTGCTCCCTGTCATAAGAGGTATCCAAAAGAGCTCCACAGAATGGGCGTTCCGGCRGTGTATCCAACACACAGGTTGCCAAGAAGCAGCACTGCCAAGTTCTGAGAGGCCCAGCTTTGGGGTTGAAAATCCTAGCCTCTACTCTACATGAGCTGTGTGACCTTGGGCAGGTCCCTCAACCTCTCTGAACCTCAGGTGGTTCTCCTCTATAAACCTGAACTAACAAGAGTGTGCATTGGAGAAGATAAAGAAGGGATTCTCAACATCATTGGGCCCAGACACCCTTCATAAGCAAAAATTTGGAATGCCCTTGACTATCATCATATACAATTCTCAGATTATAGCTAAATACTCATTTAACAATGTTGACATTAACATAATGGCATAAAAACGGGGGAAGGGGGGACAAATTAGTAGTAAACAAAAATTCAAAATGAAGCCAGGTGTGGTGCATACACCTGTAATCCCAGTGGCTCAGGAGGCTGAGGCAGGAGGATTGCAAGTTCAAAACCAGCCTCAGCAACTTAGTGAGGCRCTAAGCTGAGAGCCTGGCTCTAAATAAAATACGAAAAGGGCTGGGGATGGGGCTCAGTGGCCAAGAGCCCCTGGGTTTAATTCCCAGCACTCCAAAAAAAAAAATTTCAAAATGAAAATACTCTAGTCCTTAAGAAGCAGTAGTTTGCTTGACCCCACCTGGAGAGTCACCATGAAGGTGACAGCTACCAAGCCCACTGTGGAGTGGTACTGAGCACCAGTAAACTGATTGACTGCAGTGGTGAGCAACTCCAGGCAAAATGTCCTTCATTTCGCTGGAAAAGTGCCAAACACRCTTTGATTTGAAGTGTCGGAGGCAGAATGTAGATTGAGCTTCTTGTAAGCAGATTTTTCCATCCCTGTTCATATCTGACTGACGGCACTATTCAAAAGTCAGGTGGGACACAGGACAGCTCCTCCTTCCAGAGGAGCATCTCGCCCTTCCCTAAATGTTGAACAGGCCCCACCCATTCAATGCCAGCCCCATTTATTTTGTCAACCAAACGTCCTCCAATGTTCTGAAACATCCCCAGGGGTGGTACCAACCCGCCTGGGAACCACTGGGATCCTAGAGACACCTCTCTTTGACTYCCAGCTTTTGATCTGCACCGAGCAGCCACTCATAGTTTCAGATGTTGGATTTGTCACTTGCTGGCTTAATTTGTTCCAACACCCCATACGGCTTCTTCCGAGTCTTCCAGAGGCATAGATGCCTTCCCTGAGTACATGCCAGTCTCTGGGGAGCCCTCTCCTGTCTGCCATCTGCACCACAGCATCCCTCTGCCCACCTTCTCCAGATGAGACAGAAAGGGAGAACTCAGAAATCTTGGTCTCTGTCTCCCCCAGTGAATTCTAAAAGCTCCTTGGAATAGGAACGTAAACTATTTTGTTCTCCACCCAATACCCAGTGCGCAGCAGAGAGACTTTCAATGATTTGTTTCTATGTTTATACTTTCAATGATTTTTTTCTTTGTTATTTTGTTATTGGGCTGCCATAACAAAATACCACAGACTGGATGGCTTGACCCAGGGAGATGTAATCTCTCACAGTTCTGGAATCCAGAGCATCCTAAATCAAGAGTAAGGAATGGGCAGGTGCAGTTGCTCAAGTCTGTCATCCCAACAGCTCTGGAGGCTGAGGCAGGAGGATCGAAGCTTCAAAGCCAGCCTTGCCGCAACCCGGCTGGGCACAAAAACACAAGCCGCTCAAGCGGGAAACAAAGCTTTATTTAAAAAAGCCGCCAGCGTCCCGTGTGCCCTGCTAGCCAGCCGGTGGACCCATGCGTGTTGCCACCGGGTGCCCGGACCTCCCCCAGAAGTTCCCTCCTACTATCCTTCCCCAACCAATGGGAACTCTCCCATTACATGAGTGACATGAGTAACCTGAGTCCCGTAACAGGCCGAGGTGAACAACAGGAGTCCAATTTCCATATGAATGTAAAGCTTAACATAATCATCTCAATGGCTAGCTGGCAGTCACCTAAACCAAAAGTGCCATGTATCATACTACT